TGAAAAAGAAACCTTGTAAAGAAGTTAGACGTGTTTTAGAACGTTTTGATTTGAATACAGTGCTCTCGAGTTCATCCAGAAAGAATAGGTTTTTCCCATCCCATCCATCAGTGTCTTTACTTGAGATTAGGTTAATTATGGTATTCAGCAATAAATTGTGCGCCTGCTTGTTTTATTGAGTATTTGATTTTGTTATTAATATATTACATACTTTACAGAGGAATTGCGGTTCACCTCGTCGTTCGGTTCCTCTGCTAATTTTTTCTTTTTTTGAACTTTAATTTTAGCCGATTAATACTCTTTTGAGCTTTTATAATTAGTCAATTTCCTCTCTAAACTTTAACTTTAGCCGATTACCTCCCTAAACTTTTATAAATAGCCAATTTCCCCCTTACCATTAGATTTTTAAAAATTTCATCCTTTTTGCCCCCATATTGTTATTTATTGTCTGCGTGATCAAAATGAATGGACAATTAGATGAAAAAATTATTTAAAATCTAAGGGGAGAGAGGAGAAATTGACTATTTATAAAAGTTCACGCGAGTAATCGGTTAAAATTAAAGTTCAAGGAGGAAATTGGCTAATATAAAAGTGTAGGGGATAATTGGCTTAAATTAAAGTTTACGGGGAAAATAGATAACTCTATATAAGTTCCAAGGGCAAATCGACAAATATGCCTTCTTTATCTCAAGTCAATTACTCGCCTACATTGCATTTTAAGCAACTTAGATTCAATCTTAAAATTCTATTGAATTTTGGGACGCGCATCTACTTTGCCATAACCGTCCAAACCAAAGCGTACTAAAGCGTATGTAACAGGGGCGGTCTATAGATTTATGAGGTTCGGGGCGATGTTAAAAAATGTGCCCTCATTTTCTTAAAAATATGTTTCACACGGTACGTCATTGATAAAATTATATTTAGAAAATCACTTCAAATTTAATAATTTAGAAACATGGAAAAACTAATTTATTTTGTATCGTGAGAAGGATGCAAAAAAACTCCAGGTTTACAAGTAGATAAATGAGTTTGTTTTCCATTGAACTTTAAAGTATTTTTGTATAATCTGAGGTGTTTTTTTCTTATTTACTACCGGTTTAATATGGGAGATTAAATAAATGATGTTTTTTAGTTATTTAAGATTGTACGTTTAGAGATAAAAGGGGTACTGGCGAATTAAACCTTTTTATGACACGTCATATGATTTGCAAATTTTGACTAAAAATTTGGGCTCAATGGCATTATAAGATTAGATGAATTACAAAAATTTGTGAATAACGAAAACATACTTAGCATTTAGATTAAAATAAATTTAACAATTAATAATTTGAAACAATAAACAAAATATTTGTAAAAATTGAGAAAGATAAAAAAGCACTTAGCATTTCAACTTAAGACTTTCCATTGAATTTAAACATAAACCAATTTTCTATTAAACTTCTTGATTATTTAGGCCAAAACCGTTTATATTAGATTTATACTCTTATGAAAAAAAAATTGTTGTTAAAAATTGAAAGGTAAATAAGCACACATGGTGTTTGATGAACTCAAGACCTCTCTTAATTTCAAAACAAAAACACCACTAGTTCTAGTTAACAAAATTTCTTTGGTCATTTGAACCAAATTTTATAAAATTTATGGACATTACGCTTATGAAGATATATATAAAATAGTACACCCTATTTTAATTGGTATGCACTTCGAATATTTTGAAGGGTCCCGGAGGGTTCTGGGAATTGTCCAGCACTCTAGTCATGGATCTGTAAACATTGACTTCTATGTGTCAACTTTCTGAGTAATGAAATTAGTTTTGGCCGAGTTTTTGGGTCCAGAAGGTCGCGTTAGAAGGTCCCAGGGGTCAGGAAAGAGATCCTCTACATATCCCTTCCACCAAATCCACCAATCCGGGTCCTTGAAATTTAATCTAACGGTTAAAAACAGGCGTCCTTTAAAAGTTATAATAACTTTAGCCGTTGGATCAAATTTCAAGGATCAGAATCATCATCTTTGCATGTTGGTGGAAGAGTTAAGCAAGCCGTAGCTAGGTCCAATTGGGAGGTCTATTTAGTACCTATTTATTCAAAATTTTAAATAGCATGTATACAAGCACATATTTTACAAAATTACAATTTTGCCCTTCTATTATTTTCTTTGACAATTATTACATCACATTAAATACTATGGCGTTTTTGGTCATTTAACATATTCACAACAATTTATATAAAAGTTTACCAAACACTCAGATATTGTTAATTTTTTTTTCTGTTAACAGCACTTTTACCAAAAAAAAAAAAAAAAAAAACCAAACACTCAACAACTTTATTTTACAGCCTTTTATTCTCACATCACAATAGAAGTAGTATTTTTTTTTTAAAAAAAAGCACAACAATAACAAACTAGTCCTAAATTTGCACTCTACGGACAATAAGAGCTCAACAACAACAACAACAACAACAAAGCCTTTTCCCACTAAGTGGGGTCGGCTATATGAATCTAGAACGCCATTTGCGCTGCGCGGTTTTGTGTCATGTCCTCCGTTAGATCCAAGTACTCTCTAAGTCTTTTCTTAGAGTCTCTTCCAAAGTTTTCCTAGGTCTTCCTCTTACCCCTTGTCCCTGTGAACCTCTGTCCCGTAGTCACATCTTCGAACCGGAGCGTCAGTCGGCCTTCTTTGCACATGTCCAAATTCACCCGGAGCCGATTTTCTCTCTCTTTCCTACAATTTCGGCTACTCCTACTTTACCTCGGATATCCTCCATTCCCAATCTTATCCTTTCTCGTGTGCCCACACATCCCACGAAGCATCCTCATCTCCGCTACACCCATTTTGGTGTACGTGTTGATGCTTTCACCACCCAACATTCTGTGGCCATACAACATCGCTGGCCTTATTGCCGTCCTTAAAATTTTTCCCTTGAGCTTCAGTGGCCTACGACGGTCACACAACACGCCGATGCCACTCTTTCCATCCAGCTCGTATTCTATGGTTGAGATCTCCATCTAATTCTCCGTTTCTCTTGCAAGATAGATCCTAGGTAGCGAAAAACGGTCGCTTTTTGTGATCTTCGCTAGTTGCTCCGATCATTAGTGTGGATAAGTATATAATGGATGGATAGAGATAGGAAAGCAAAACACAAGATGTACGTGGTTCACCAGATTGGCTACGTCCACGGAATAGAAGAGTTCTCATTAATTGTGAAGGGTTTTACACAAGTACATAGGTTCAAGCTCTCCTTTAGTGAGTACAAGTGAATGATTTAAGTACAAATGACAATTAGGAAAATATTGTGGGAGAATGATGCTCGTAATCACGAAACTTCTAAGTATCGGAGTGTGGTGTCGTCTTGACTTGCCTTATCCGTCTCATTGGTAGAGATGTGGCATCTTCTCTGGAAGTACTCTTCCTCCATCCAGGGGTGGTATCTTTAACTGGTGGAGATCACAAGGTAATGTATCAATTTCACTTGAAGCTTACTTGTAGTTTCAGGCTTGGTCAAGCGCGATACAAACCATGTAGTAGGAGTCCCCCAAGTCGCCGGAGCTAGGGGTCTGCTGAAAGAGGTGACAGACAAGGTAGCAATCAGAGCTCCGACTGATTGTTCACCTTCTCCCATCTGCAGCAGCATGAAGGATAAAGAAAGAAAATGAGAAAGAATGATGATGAAGAATACTTTGCTTTTGAAGAAGTAACTTTCCACAGCTTATATTCTTGAACTGAGCTGGAGGTTTTCTGGTTTCCTCCAGAGTATATAAGGCCGACTGAAGAATTTGAGGGTCAAAAAAAACAAGTCCATCAAATCTAGAGTGCGTTCCACCCTGCTCATATGGGATACTTTTGCTTTTGACAGAGTAATGGATGTATCGGCAAGTAATGGATGTATCGGCACAATAAGAGCTCGCTAAAGCTAAAACATTCATGGAAGTGAATTGAGGGATTTAGTGCCCCTGCTATATTGAACAATGTAAAACATTCTACAGAAAACTAAGTTGCCTCTTCACGTAATCGCCTAGCTGCCAACACAAGTATGCTTGTTTTATGGTCTTCTGTAAGAAAAAAATGTGAAAGAGTTTATAACCAAATATACATTTTTTGAGACCAATCCATACAGCGCTTGATGAATTAAGCATTCCAGTTACTGAAACCTGGAATCTTCATCTGCTGCCAGAAAATCCCAGCATCAATATCTCGAAAACCAATCCCTGTAGCCGCTTAAACATCCTCTTCTAGACCCCCTAGCCCAAAAATAACACTCTTCACGAGCGTAACGATGGAATTCAAGCTCGCAGCCTGCAATGCAAACACATTCCGAGCTTCAAAACCATCCCACACTAATTCAAACTAATGCAAGTACCAAAACTTATTAAATTCGAAGCGCTCCCAAATAACAAAAAGGATTAAAAGTTTCATTATTTAACAATAATTTCGATTGATTAAAGTTTGATTCCATAATTTTCCGAACAGTGAGGCGTGAACCTGCTGGGAAGGAGAGCGAGACGTCTCAATGTGATGAATCAATTCACTCGGTCCAACCATTGCTAGCGAATATTGAGGTTTCAGGGTTTTAGGAAGTGTTGAAGAAAGGGGAGGGTTTTGCTAAATTAAAAAGCCTACATTTATAATCTTCTCAACTTATTGTATGGTTTTACACGTTTAGTTCAGAAATAATTTTCTAAAACACATGTATGTCAAAAGTGCTTTTACTAAACATAATTAAAACATTATATTAAAAATCCATGTTTTTTTTTATAAAAGCACTTTTAACTCATTCTGCTTAACATCAGTCATGAAAACTTTTGGTTATTTGAAAGCTTTTTTCTAGCCAATTTTAAGCACTATTGTTCTCTATTTAACAAGCACATTTTTGTTCTGATTTAATCACCCATAGTTTAGATTAAATAGAATATCGCTCGAATAAATAAGCCTCAAGCTTATTTTTTGATTGTTGCTTCATAAACACAACCACTGAGAGAGAGAAGGGCAAACTCCAGTAGCAACCAAAGGGCTTACAACAACGATGAATTTCTAATTTTTAAACCATGAAGTCTGCAAAATTACATGTCCTTGCTGGTGGTTCGAGATACTGTGGGGATACAAAATTACATGTAACAAGCTCCTTGTGCTTCTATAAGATAGATACGAACCACCTTGTACAAGCAAATCATAATTTTCAAAAGATCATGAAACTATGCAACCAAAAGCCAACTGCTAATCTCCATCGACAACCTCATCCAATCGGTCAAGAAATCCCTTGTGAGTTACAGTGTCGTTAAATCGAACCCCATTCAAAGAAGCTGCTTCAAACTTTGTCCATAGCTCCCTCTTTAAAGTATTCTCACCAGGATGTTTGCCCGTTCGAACAACGCTTTCAGCTTCTTTCCAGATGGGAGTGCTTTCTATCAGCGAAAATCTGCCACCTGCAGTCTCTGTGACAAAAGAATAATACAAAGGATTTAAATCAAAACATGTCCAGTATGTTATCCGTGTGCTCACAAGTAAAATAGTACAAAGCAAACGATGAGTGGCGAAAATACCTTGAAGACAAGATGTCTTGATTGGGTGAGTGCCTCCTTGACAACCATTCTCTTTTGATACAGACAAATTAATTTGCTTATCTAGAAGACGCCCGGTAATTGGCAATTGTAAATCAGTAGCAGCGCTGCCCGGAGACTTTTCATCATGGGGATCAAGTAAAACACAAGTTTTAGGAGGCGATATGCACCATTCTGGTGATGATTCAACATGGTTCTTTCTAATTCCTGATTGGAACGGCAGTTGTAGCGCCAACAGCTCCGGATAACGGAAAGCGAGATCCCCAGAAGCTTCGTTGCCAGAGGAATCACTGGAATATGTGAATCCAACAGGAAAAGGGGTGGACTTATGAACCGCATGATGACCCTTGGGAGAAGACTCCGAAATGGGTTCAAGCACAACACATGATTTAGGAGGAGACATTTTTAGGCATGGAGTCATCACATTCACAACCATGGATCCCCCATGTTTCGGAAACATTGGCGGAGGAGAAACAAACTCAGGCTCAAGGCTGCTTCCTTCTTCAGTAGCAACCGAATCAGAAGGCTTACTTGGAGTTGACTTTGTTTCCATGAGGTCAAGCGAATTATCAGTTGCATCTCCGAAATTGGCCTTGAACTTGGGTATCCTATCGACGGTACATGAAGTAATTCTCTCAAAGACTGATGACCTAGAAGGGACCGGGGGTCTGGATGACAGAGACTTTGAAATGGGAAGAGGGGTTAGCTTAAACAGATGTCTCCCTCTTTCAATAGTGCACTCCGCGCGCCAGGACACAAGGGGGGAAGGAGAGATTAAGGAGTCTTGTGGACTCTCAATCTCTACCCTTTCGACTTCATCTGCAGCATACTCCGTTGGATCGGAGAGTGCCTTCTGAAACCTGGGCACCCATGGCTGCAAGCAATTGCATAAATTTGCATAAGGTGCGGATAATAACGAAATTCAAAGACTAATCATATGATGGGTATAAATTTCGCAGACCTTCAAAGACGAAAGCATTTCGGACAAGAAATTCACGAACGATTCGACTTCTTTTGTTGCTTTTCCTCGGCATTTAAATGCTTGCACAACCAATTCATCAATCTACCATTCAATTTCAACCCAAAATCACACATTCTGACAGATTCACAAAACCCTAAAGAAAATGAAATTTTCAAATAAAGACGAAAACTTCAACTTTCTGTAATTCCCAGTTCTGGTTGTTGAGATCGATGGAGGAATTGTGTTACCTGGTGAGTTAGGGCGGAGAGATCGGACTGAACGAGCAGGAGCCGATCGAGAGCGTCGTCGTTTTGGTGGTCCTTTTCTTCTTTATCATGTTCTTCGACCCTAAGCTTGTGCCCTTCCTTTTCCTTCTTCTTGGCGGTGGCGGAGAATTTAGAGAACCTTACTCCGCCGCCGCATCTGCCGCCATTGTTGTTCGATATCTCCCTCAGCGCTGTCCTCGCTGACCTCCCTTTCTCTTCGTTCCTCGGCATCTCTCTTCCGCTCTCTGTCTCTGTCACTCTCTCCTTTTGAATTTCATCAGTGGCGCTCAATTTTCATTCCCTTTTTTTGTTCTAGTTATTGGGTTCATCACTTTATTTGATCCGGACCCGGCCCATTACACCCCAGCCCACCACATAATTTAGGAAAACTGAAAATAGAGCCCACCACATAATTGAACTTCCACTATGAGTCCATATTTAGCTCTGTCGATAGATCAGATTTATTTCTAATTTTCTTTAATACATTGATATTTTTACATTATAAAGAGAGAGAGTTCGGTTAAGCCACACAATAGACAACTTAATTTGGTATCAAGTTATCCATTCACTGAGATTCGAACCTAAAACTTCTAACTTACAAATGAAGAAGAATACCTCTATATCGTAGTAGTAAGTGGCAGATTTATTTCTAAATTTAATTCAATATTTTTAGTCATGTTAGTTTTTTTTTTCTAGGTCACATTTTCAGGCTAATTCAATATTTTTAGTCATGTTAGTTTTTTTTTTCTAGGTCACATTTTCAGGCTAAAGGGCCTTTAATCTTTTGACTTGAGTAGGGGTAGGGATGATTCGGTATGAGATCCTAAACCAAAAATGGGATCCCGAATTTCAAATCGAAATTTTCGAGAAGCGTATTTGACACACCCCGACCCGAATCAGGGCATGTTGGCCTTCACGTGAGGGTGACATAACCATGTGCACAGTGCATAAGCAATAAAGATAAAAGAGAATACGAATAAATGTAAACCAACTCATAAGAGTACTAGTTAAGACAAGTGCTAGAATATGTGTGAATACACAATCAGAGCATGAGTAGCCTAAGTTCAGTCCAGAAAACAAGTACTAATTAAACGACACCCAAAGATGCCATACATTTGTGATAGTCTGTCAGAACCTCCAATCAATCATTGTGAGCCACCAACGAACAAGCTTATCTAAAACCTGGAGAAGCGCAAAACAAAAAGTGTGAGTGGGCAAAAACAAAGCTTTACAAAACCATTTCATTTATCAAATGCTCTAACCCCTCACCGTAAAACATGTATAACTTTCCCAGAAATGGAATATAAATATATATATATATATATATATATATATATATATATAAATTCATGGATAAATAACATATTAGCCAGAACCCCTGCAAAGGTCTGTACGGCTGAATTCATAGCTCATTAGTCAATTTAGCCGGAGTCACCGCAAGTGACCTATATGGCACTACACTGCGCTACACTGCACATGAGTCAGAACCATTGCAAAGGTCTGTACGACAAGACTGGGTGTAATATAGTTATGCTCAATGCTATGTTCTTATGATAGCTGTGTGATAAATCACTAGTCACCTACGAGTCGGAACCACCTATGATGGTCTGTACGACAAGATTGTGCACCTAAATTGGATCTAATGTGAGCATATGGTGCGGGAGGTGACATTATAAATAGGCATGTACTATATCTTTGGCTAAATCACAATCACCCGGGGTGCAGGTTTATGTGCTCTCAATCACGTGTCACATTATCAATATCTCATATAACAAAACAATACTCACTTGGTACTTACCTGAGCGTCCACAACACCAATTCATATTATGCATCATATACTAATTCATATGCTGAATATAAATTTATATGCATGACATTTCAAAGCATACTTTCATTTAAACACATTTTCTGGGAAAATATCAAGTATATAAATATATACTGAAAACCAAAAGCCCACTCACTGATATGTTGAAGGGTCGTAGCCCCTGAGCCGCCCTTGACTGCGCTCGTCCTCAGGATGGGTCTCCCCTATATGCGAAACAACTAAATAAACGTTAATTAAAGCACATAGACAAAACTAGTTAATGACTTCTCATACATTGCTCAAATGGGATGTTTGAATATACCAACGTGATCTACATAACCTCACTCAAATTTCCACCAAATTTCATGAAACTTGAACCAAATTGAAGCTTAGGATGAATAGAACACAACCATACCTGTTTTGGGACCTAAAATCCATGGAAATTTGCCGAAGGACCTTCGATAATCCGGTCAAACTTCAAATGCATCGATCTCGACTTCCCGACGTCCAAATTATGTCATTTTTCTTCTTCGAGCTTCGTGGAGAGGTCCCTAAGCTTCCTATAAGCTTGAAATCCTCTAAAAATCATGCATTTACGACTGCATGAACATTACCTCAAAACTGAAATCTTGGGTTCTCGAGTTTTCTAAGCTTTCCCTTCTTATAAATGGTACGAATGAACTCAGGAGCCTACAATGAACTCAAAGGTCATATTCTCCTCGTCAATCCGTGCCTAAATGGAATGGTTCGAGAATTGTCCATACGCTTGTACAGACGTTGCAGAAAATCGAGAGAGGGATGAGAGATAGTGTACACAGGGAAAGGGATAGGTGTGTGTGTGGTCCTAGTTGGTTACTAACCCACAAAACAAAGTAACAAGCCTAAGTCTTTTTCCAAGAACTTAGGAAATATTAGAATTGTCCAACTTAAGTACATAACACACATAACACACTTTAACGTCCAAGGGTAAATTAGAAACTTCCACGTTTGAGACCAAACCCACCTTAAAAATTTTGTCCTCGAAATTCATACACAACAATATATCCACTAATAACCATAAAACAATCGCGGATACATCTCTCTCATCCGATCTTTTGTCTCCCATATAGCCTTCCCCACATAGTGATTTCTCCATAATACTTTCACCAAACGCACTGTCTTATTTCTCAGAACCTTATCTTTCCAATCCAAAATCGTCACATGCTCCTCGTCATAAGTCAAATCCAGATTAATTTCCAAAGATTGATGAGGAATCACATGTGAAGGATCTACAACATAATGACGAAGTATAGAGACATGAAAAACATCGTGCACTTTGGACAACTTTGGAGGCAACTCAAGTCTTTAAGCAACTTCACCGACTCGCTCGGTGATCATATATGGTCCAACGTACCTAGGACTCAGCTTGCCTTTCTTTCCAAACACAACACCTTTCCATGGTGATAGCTTCAGAAATACCCAATCACCTACATTATACATCCGATCAGTGGCATGTCTGTCTGCTAGACACTTCTGTCGATCCTAGGCCTCTTTCAGGTTAGACTTAATCATCTGAATATTCTGGGTAGTCACCTCCATTATCTCAGGACCCACTAAAACTCTTTCACCAACCTCTGACCAACATAAGGGTGTGCGACAAGATTTACGATAAAGAGTCTCGAAAGGTGACATACCAATATTGGAATGAAAGTTGTTGTTGTAGGCAAATTCCATCAAATCCAAGCCAAGTGTCACCAAACTGCAACACCGAAGATCTCAGCATATCCTCTAAAGTCTGAATAGTCTTCTCAGACTGCCCATCTGTCTGAGGATGATATGCTGTACTATAAAGTAATCTTGTACCAAGAGCTTCCTGGAACGCTACCCAGAACTTAGAAGTGAATCTAGGATCACGATCCGAGATAATACTAATTGGAACTCTATGGTACTTCATGATCTTCGATACGAATAATTCAACTAATCGGCTTAAAGAATATTTCTCCCTCACAGGAATAAAATGTGCTGACTTAGTAAGCCGATCAACTATCACCCAAATGCCATCATAACCATTCTGTGTATGAGGAAGCTTGTACACAAAATCCATTGTAATATTTTCCCATTTCCAATGTGGAATAGGAAGTGGCTGCATCAACCCAAACGACTTCTTTCTTTTTGCTTTAACTTGCTGACAAATAACATACCTACTCACATACTCAAAAATTTCTCTTTTCATACCCGACCAATAATAAAATGTTTGAATGGTATGATACATCTTGGTACCTGTAGGATGCATTGCATATGCCGAAATATGCGCTTCATCAAGAATTTCTTTATTTAACTCTGCATTATTCGGCACATACATTTTTTTCTCTTGCATAAGCATGCCATCAATTTCTCGTATTCTGAAATCTTTCTTCTTGCCTCGATTTCTTGCTTGAATTATTTCCCGGGTCTCTTCATCATTCGTCTGAGCTTCAAGCACACAATCAATTAAAATTGGCCTAACTTGAAAATTCGCAAGTAAGGCTTCCTCTCGATCTTCCACTCCTAACTCCACTCCAGTGGACCTCAAATTTGCAAGAAGAGGAACATGACAATCATAGATGGCATTAAGTCTAGCTGGAGTCTTCCTACTAAATGCATCCGCCACTGCATTTGCACGACCAGGGTGATACTCAATCGTGCAATCATAATCGCTAAGCAACTCAATCCACCTTCGCTGCCGAAGATTAAGATCTCTTTGAGTAAAAAGATTATGAAGACTTTTATGATTCGTGAAGATCTTACATTTCTCGCCATGAAGATAATGTCTCCAAATCTTCAAAGCAAAGATGATAGTCGCTAACTCCAGATCATGAGTAGGGTAATTCTTCTCATAAGGTTTCAACTGTCTTCAAGCATAAGCAATCACCCTACCATGTTGCATCAATGCACAACCCAAACCATTCAAAGAAGCATCACTGTAGACCTCAAAATTACCACTATCATCTGGGAGTGCCAAAACAGGTGCATGAGTGAAATAATACTTCAACTGCTGAAAACTTTGCTCACAATTATCATCCCACTCAAACTTAACATTCTTCCTGGTCAATCTCGTCAATGGTAAATCAATAACTGAAAAATCCTTAACAAATCGTCTATAATAGACTGCTAGGCCAAGAAAACTCTGTACCTCAGTGACAGTTCGAGGTTACTCCCAATTCTCCACAATTGCCACTTTTTGAGAATCCACTCGAATACCTTGAGCTGATATAACATGTCCCAAAAATGCCACTTGATCTAACCATAATTGGCATTTCCTAAACTTAGCATATAACTGGTGTTCCCTCAAACTTTTCAACACCAATTTAAGATGTCTAGCATGCTTTGCTATAGACGTAGAGTATACCAGAATATCATCAATGAAGACAATGACAAACCTGTCCAAATATAGCTGGAATACTCGATTCATTAGATCCATGAAGGCTGCTGGTGCATTAGTTAACCCGAATGACATCACAAGAAATTC